AAACCAGGGTGTGTGGTGCTGACCAATACGATCCATATTTCACCAGGGCCACTGTTGTTGGCTGAGGCCATACACTTTACACCAGGGACAGTGCTTTTGGCTGAGGCCATCATCACCACACCAGGGCGTTTGGTGCTGGATGAGGACATCCACATTACACCAGGGACAGTTCTTCCTGTGAGGCCATCTTCACCACACCAGGGCCTGTTGTGCTGGCCAATACCATCCACATTTCACCAGGGCCTGTGATACTGGCTGAGGACATTTACATTTCACCAGGGCCTGTGGTTCTGGCCAATACAATCCACATTACACCAGGGCCAGTGGTGTTGGCTCAGGACCTTCACATTACACCAGGGCCTGTGGTGCTGACCAATACCATCCATATTTCATCAGCGACAGAGTTTTTAGATGAGGCCATCCACATTACACCAGGGCCTGTGCTACTGGCTGAGGACATTCACGTTACACCAGGGCCTGTGGTGCTGGCCAATACCATCCACATTACACCAGATCCAGTGTTGTTGGATGAGGCCATTCACATTACACAAGGACCTGTGGTGCTAGCCAATACCATCCACATTACACATTACGCTGAGGCCATACACTTTACATCAGGGACAGTACTTCCGGTAAGGCCATCAAATGCACACCAGGGCCTGTGAAGCTGGATGATGCCATCAACATTACACCAGGGCCTGTGCTACTCGTTGATGCCATCCACATTACACCAGGGCCTTTGGTGCTGGCCAATACCATCCACATTTCACCAGGGCCAGTGTTGTTGGCTCAGGCCATCCACATTACACCACTGCCAGTGCTTCCTTTGAGGCCATCATGACCAAACCAGGGCCTGTGGTGCTTGCTGAGGCCATCTACATTACACCAGGGCCTGTGCTAGTCGTTGATACCAACCACATTTCACCAGGGCTTGTTTTGCTGGCTGATGCGATCCACAATACACAAGAGCCTGTGCTTCTCTGGCTGAGGACATTCACATTACACCAGGGCCTGTGGTGCTGGCCAATACCATCCATATTTCACCAGGGCCACTGTTGTTGGCTTAGGCCATACACTTTACACCAGGGACACTGCTTCCTGTGAGGCGATCTTCACCACACCAGTGACTGTACTGTTGGATGAGGCCATCCACATTACACCAGGGCCTGTGCTACTCGATGATACCATCCACATTTCACCAGGGATTGTGTTGCCGGCTGATGCATTCCAGAAAACACAAGGGCCTTTACTACTGGCTGATGCTATCCCCATTACACCAGGGCCAGTGGTGTTGGCTGAGGACATTCACAATACGCCAGGGCCTGTGGTGTTGGCCAATACCATCCACATTTCACCAGGGCCAGTGTTGTTGAATGAGACCATTCACACTACACCAGGGCCTGTGGTTCTGGCCAATACCATCCACATTACACCAGGGCCAGTGGTGTTGGCTCAGGACATTCACATTACACCAGG